GCGACAGGGGGCACCCCTGCCTGGTGCCATTCGTGAGTCGTATGGGCTCTGAGAGGAACCCCGAGTTTAGCACCTGGGCCCCTGGGGAGCTATATAGCGCTTCCACCGCCGATACAAACCCCTCTGGGATATCAAACTTGTGTAGCACTTTGCGAAGGAATTGCCAGTGTAAGCAATCAAAAGCCTTCTCCACGTCTAGAGAGACCAGTAAGCCCCCGTGTTCTGTTTTGCAGAGATGGTGGAAGATGTTTAGCACCTTTCTCGTATTGTCAGACCCTTGTCTCCCTCTGATGAAGCCCACTTGGTCTGCCCCCAGTTGGATTGCATACACTTTGGCTAGGATTTTGGCGTCGGTATTTAGTAGGGATATGGGCCTGAAGTTCTGTGGTACCGTGGGCTGTTTCCCTGGCTTGGGTAGTGTTACTATGTGCGCCGCTAACATTTCAGGGGGTAGGGTTCTTTGCAGAGCGGCCTGTGTATAGCTTTTGACCAGGTAAGGTGCCAGGGTGGTTTTGTGAGATCTTGTTGTTGGTGGCTTGTGAGGCGTGGTAAGTGTATGTTTCTCAGGTATGCCTATATGTCCTTCTCTATCGGTTGTGGGGTCCAGTTTCAAGTTGTACAGTAGTGCGTAATAATGCGTAAATTCATCACATATGGCTTTTGGGGTATTGAGCTTTTGTCCTGTGTGGGAGACGAGGTAGGGGATCTTTTGTGAGGCCTGTTTGGCCCTGAGTCTTTGCGCTAGGAGTTTGCTAGCCTTATTTCCCTGGGTGAAGTGACGTTGTTTCAGGCGCTGTAGGTTGCGCTCTGTGTGTTCTAGGGCTTGGTTGTTCAGGGTTCTAGTGATTTGGAGTATGCGCCGACGCTTGTCGTCAGTGGGGGATATTTGGTTTTGGCGGGTTATGTCATTTAGTTCTTTTTGTAGCTCGAGTGTGTGCTTTTGTGCCTGTTTTCGGAAGTATGAGGCCCGCCTTATCAGTAGGCCTCTCACCACTGGTTCATGGGCCATCCAGACTGTCGTGGATGAGACGTCCTGCGTCTCATTTTCCACAAAGTATTGTTTGTGGACTGTGGAGGAGGGAATCATTAATTCTCCAGGGGCTACGGTGTTTGAAGTCATAGAGGTTGTTCATTTCTAGGAGTACCGGAGCGTGAGCCGACCATGTGATATGTGCTATGTCACAGGTCTTGATCTGGTTAAGATGGGAACCCGAGAGGAGGAACCCATCTGTTCTGGAATATGAGTTGTGGACGTGTGAGAAATGTGTATATGCTTTTTCCAATGCGTGTGTGATTCTCCATGCATCGTAATAGTGGTAGACATGCAATAATGTCTGGAGGGCTTTACTTTGGTGCTTGAGGGTTCTGTATCTACTGCTAGTATTGTGTATGGTTGTGTCCATGTTCGGGTCAAAAATGTGGTTAAAGTCTCCACAGACCAGTGTTATTCCTTGTCTTATTGACGTCAATGTTTGCCATATTTTGTGTAAAAAGTTCCTCTGGTTTTGGTTTAGTGCATGTGTATTTGCAATCGAGTATTCCATATTATTAATCGTTTCCACTATCATCACGTATCTGCCCATGGGGTCTACATGCTGTGATTTTAGGGAGAAGGTGACATGTCTGCTTATCAAGATAGATGTGCCTTTGGACTTAGTCGGAAAGGTGGAGTGAAACTGATATGGGTATTCCATAGCCAACACCTCTGGATGACCATTCGTGCGGAAGTGGGTCTCCTGCAGGCAGACCACGTCCACGCTTTGTTTCCGAAGTTCTCAGGTTAGTAAGTGTCTTTTTGCCGGGATATTCAATCCCCTTACATTATGTGTGTATATTTTCATGTAGGGTCTAGCATGAATGGTTGTGCTGTGTATTGTGAGTGTCTGTTTGTCTCGGGGTGGCTCGCTCCTCCCAGTGCCATCAAGCAGAGAAGACCAACCCCTGGTGTCTGTGTGGACTTCCCATAGGTACTTTGAGTTAGGTCAGGTTTCCTTCCTGCTCGCCTTCCCCTAGGGGCGCGATTCCTATCCGTATCAGAGATGGGACCTCCCACACGGTCCTCGATATAGATCCCAGCATCGTGGGCAACAGGCGCATCCCTCTGGGTGTAACAGCATAATAACATAACCAAACGATAAAGAAAGTATTTACAACGTGAAAATGTGCCCTGTTTATGGCTAGGCACTTCATCCAAGTGCCTTGGGGGTAGGAGCTCTCTGCTCCTATGCCTGGGAGAGTATGCGCTTTGCGCTGGCCAGTCTAACTATGGCAACTTATCTTATTTTTTTTTGTGTGCGATTAACCCTTCCTGTGTTTCGTGTTAGTTGTTGACTTACTGGGTCTTCTGCATATTATCTCACTGGGATCCCAATCCCTCTAAATATGTGGTATACGTCCTATTTTACTTAACAATCCTGGCTGCCCTAAGTTATTTGTCTTGCTCTGTTTCGTATTGCAGGATTGGAGTTGGGTATTAGTAAGCATTTAAACAAGAGACATTTACAGTAATTCCAGCATAACCAGCAATACAGTGTTTATACTTGCGGCTTAGCTCGGAATGTTGTAGGAGGCCTTATCTGGTGCCATGCCTATACAGTCTATGAGTGCTTTGCTCTTTTCCAGTCCGGTCCGGTACCAGTCTTTTCGGGTCCTTGGCCAGTTGTTTCTGGGGTGCCCTCGCGATGCCCCATTCCTTCAATATGCGGGCGCCTTCCTCTGGGGTGGACATGGTTATATTCTTGCCTGCTCTCCGTACCAGCAGCTTGACTGGGTATCCCCATTGGTACACGATATGTTGTTCCCGGAGCGCTGCAGTAATGTCTTGGAATGCTCTTCTTTGTTTGAAGGTAAATGCCGAAATGTTCGCAAGCAACAGGATGCCTCGGTACTGCTCCGGTTGGTCCCTGCGGTTTCTGCTACTTTTCAATATGGCCTCTTTGATGTGGTAGTAGTGCATACGCACTAAGATGTCTCAGGAAGCATCTGGAGGAACTTGGGCCTTGTCGTCCTGTGGATTCAATCAAAAAGGAGCAAGTCTTGTGGTATGTCAGGCACTAGTGATCGCAGGTATGCCGTGAGATGCGATGTTAAGTCTTTTATGCCCACCTCCTCTGTTACTCCCCTCAGCCGCAAATTATTTTGGCGGCTTCTATCCTCTGTCAGCAAGTTTTACCTCTTGTGCCATGATGCGCTCCGCCATTTGCGCCAGCTTGTCAGCCATATCATTATGTGCCTCTTCAGTGTCGGCCATTTTTTCCTCTATCCAGGAGGTTCTGGATCCAAGATCCCCCAGCTCCTTGCGTAGATGATCTATGGTAGCTTGCACACTTTTTATTATTTTTGTGGACATCTCGTCCAGCATGTCTTGCATCACTGCCTGTGTCAGAGGCCCCTGCTCGGTGCAAGCGCAGGAAGCTGCCTTGTGAGAGTCGTCTGCGCCATCTTGGCTTCCCGCTGTCTGCGACTGTTCTTTGTGTGCGCTCTGTTTTGGAGCGAAAAACTGTGTTTTGTCTGACCTGTCCGCCTGTCTCTTCGTCTTAGGGTAAGACATTGCGGTAGTGTATGGTATTTTTCGCCATTAATTTGTGGGGCAATTGCTCAAATTAGGCCTTTTGGCACGGAGCTGCTGCTACATGTGACTTCTCCCATTGGTGTCCAGGCCACACCCCCATTTTTTTTGTTTTTAAAATTATTTTGGTGCAAGAAGTTTTGCTATAAACTCATCCAAGTTCGGTGGAGAGGGAACCAAGTTGGTTTTAAAGAAGTTTTTCAATCTTAGATAAATAAAAAAACATCTTGATTAGCTAGATCAAATTTTCTTTTAAGAGCTTCAAAATATACCATCTCCCCTTCCAGACACAAATCCACCAAGCTATCAACTCCTTTACTAACCCAACTTGATAAATCTAGATATTTGATGTACTGGTTAAGGGCCATTATCGGTGTGTCCTGAGTAACATTCTTTAATACCCATCTTTCCTCTCACACTTGACCCCCGTTTTAATTGCGTCTATGAAAATAGGGTTTGATAACTTCAATTGTCTAGTCACTAAAGGCTTAATCCAATACATATGGGAGGGAGTTAATTTTCCCATCTGGTACTTCTCACAGTGAAACCAGCCAGTCGACTTATTTTTCTCCAAACTCTATGCCAACAAATCTGAAAACATAGTTACATCATGTAGAATATTAAAATCTGGGAAACCTAGCCCAAATTGAGTGCTATCTTTTTTAATAACATTGTATGCTATCCATGGTTTCTTATTTTCCAAGTTATATATGAGAGGAATATTTTTAAAATTTTCTCCAAGATAGTAACTGGTACTCGCAATGAAATCATCCTAAACAAAAACAAAACCTTAGGTACCAAATAAGCTTTCACAATATTTACTCTACCTAAAAGTGAAACCTCTTTTTAAATTTCGTCTATTTGCAAATTAAGATTCTGAATTAATAGTTCATAATTTACTGGTATATATCTTTCTAACATTATATGATACCCAAATAATCTATCCAATCGTTGTCCCAACTAAACTGGAATTTACTTTGTAACGATTGCTTTTGATGGGATGATAACCCTTTACTAATAATTTGGGTTTTGTGTAAGTTTATCTTATAATTAGAGTAATATCCATATTCCCTAATAATCAATAAAACTGCAGGAATGGATGTTTTCGGTGTTGTTACTGTTAGAAGTATGTCATCTACGATGCCCCCTATCTCCTCCGCTTGTCTAATCATTGCCGCCAATGGTTCAATAGAAAGAGCGTAAAGCTGGGGGGAAAAGGTGTACCCCTGCCTCGTACCGTTGTAGACATACAAAAAACGAACTCAAAAAGGGACCTGTAATTTTAGTACTCAGATTGCTGTACAGGGCCAAGGAGCTGTTTTTAAATAATACTCTGATCCCAAAAGAGTCCATCGTTTCAAATAAGAAATTCCAATTCACTCTGTCGAAAGCCTTCTCGGCATCTAATGCCAAGAAGGCTATCGACACAGGCCTTTATTGTACTTCCCACACCAGATTCATTAGCTTTCACATATGGTCTTCCCCTGCCCATAATAAATCCAGATTGATCAGAATCCACAAAGTCTGGAATTACTGCCCCCAATCTATCTGCAAGAATTTTAGAGAAGATTTTTACATCTAAATTTATAATAGATATAGGCCTATAATTTGAAATTAAACTTGGGTTCTTCCCTACCTTGGGTACTGGACAAATTGAGGCTTGAAGCATCTATTTGGGAATGTCCCCTTTCTCGCCAAATATATTAAACACTCTCAACAATAACTGTAAAATCGCAGAGTCCGCTATCTTGTACAACATTGCTGTAAATCCATCCGGACTCGGCGATTTCACCATTTTTAGAGCCTCAATTGCTCTTTTAAACTTCTCCAAAAGAAAATGGTGGATTTAACCTTTCAAGATATTCTTCTGTAATTCTTGGGAGATTTAAATTTTGAAGAAACTTTTTCATTTTAAAATTGGTTATCTCGTTATGCTTGATGTTATATAAAGAAATATAGAAGTTCCTAAATGCTTCTGCTATTTGAGCTGGGTGAGGTCTAATAACATCTTATTGTTGACTATTAATTTGTGAATTCTAGTTCTTTCTATTTTTTGCTTTAGTTTATTGGTATTTTATTCGCTCTATTATTGAAGTGATACCCTTTCTGTTTAATTTTAAGGATGGCTTTTTCATAACCTTCATCTAGTTTCTTTTGAATTTCTTTTTGAGTGTTAATGATTTGTTCTGATATATTTTTATTGGGGGATATTTTGTTCTTTCTTTCCTGCTAAGCTAGGATTATATATAGAAAGAAGTACGGCAAAGAACTGTGTGATAAAGGCGCTTAAGCAATAATAAGTTTGAATAAAGAGACGCTACAACACTCTGGTGGGAGTCCCTCTCACCCACCTTAAACTTGCAAAGCCAAAGAAAAAGGAAAAAAAGCCAAAACTGATTAACCTCAGGAGTGGAGCGTCTAGTATATGGATTGGACATATACCCTATACTTGGATGATTGGTCTTGTCTTAACGGTAACACATATACCTATCCTATATAGGGCTCTTTTACATGTGAGTTGACAATTCTCTAAATTACTTCCTGACGAAACAGCTATACGGATTTACACTATCGGTTGTTTCTTCCCTTTTTTTTTTATGTCCTTCATGTATCTAAATTGGATGTAACATGTGTTACCGTTAAGATAAGACCAATCACCCAAGCATAGGGTAGGTGACCAATCAATATACTAAACGCTCCACTCCGGAGTTGAATCGCTTTTGGCTTTTTTCCTTTTTCTTTGGCTTTGCAGGATTATATATAGGTCCGATGTGGATTTCCCCAACTTCTTCCTAATAAGGATATCATTCTTAATTAAATAACCCCTTATTGTACATTTAAGAGCGTTCCACAAAGTTGGTTCAGAGATCTCATTACTGTTGTTAAAGGCCAGGAATTGTATTTCTTCTATAACTTTATGCTTCACAGTTTCTGAAGTTATAGTCCTTCATTCTTCATTGGTGAGATTATATGGTTTACGCAGTATACTAAAGTTCTATTTAGAACCCCAGAGTCTGTCTTGCTTGATCGGTTGCCTTTAACATGCCAGACTTATTTAGTTATCCTTGGCTACTGTTAGGAAGTCTAAACTACGCCAGTAGATTTACCTATATCCCTTCCACTTAATTTTAGTTTTCATATGGTTGAAAGCCTCCATAAGAAGCACAAGAAACGGTCTTTTGTATAACAACTCCTTTAACCCCTCCCTGAATGTAAAAAAAAAATTCTTCAAATTCACCACGAGGTACCTTAATAAGTTGATAGCATTCCATTTCTTAGAACACTCAAGAGTGTTCCCTCCACTTAAAACTAGAGGCCTGACGAGAGACAACGGTTTGAAATGGTGCTTCGTTATGGGTCAATTTTCTACTGAGATATTATACTTTAATGTACATTACTGAATTTGTTTAATTTAATTTGCTTGACTTATTTTTTGTGTTTCTTTAATTTCTCTTATAAAACAGGAAAAGTTTATTGGAGGTAGAAGCTAATGGTGTATATCTACATGTAGAAGGTGCAACTGTATGATGTTTGAAACCTAAAACTGTTCAAGAAGTCTTTTCATAATTATACAAGTTTCCAGTGAGTTTAAATTTATATCATGCCCTATATACATTCATTTGGAAGGTCACTGAGGAGTTATATTTCAGACAGTGTATCTTATACAGCCATTTCTTGCAGAACACTACCACCCCCCAACTGAAATTGCTTCTGACAGTCTATATGCTTTACTGAAGCAGCTGCCACAATCTAAGGCTAAGGTTAGAACTGGGGCTCGTCAAATTTTGATTTGCATATGACAATTCTGCATGTGTTGCAGTTTTTGCAACAAGTGCAAGGTGCATGAAGACTAAGATTTCACCAAATGGGAAATGTGATACAGTAATGCATGCACTGAATTTTTTTTAATCAGGTGCACAAAAAAACATGAGCATTCCGTTGATGATGATGAGACTTTAAACACAAAAATGCTGTGGAGGTGCATTTTATAGTTCCATTTTGCTTCTCCTCACATTAAGTTCTTCATTTAGGGTTTACTCAGTCAAGAGGGTAGTTTAATATCAGTGGTAGACATGTGCAATTCGGACATTCGGATGCTTACGAATGTCCAAAGTTTGAATTGCCAAATTTCCGAAGTGCCGAAATTGCAAATTGCCAGATTTCGGAATTGCTGGAATTCCGATTTGCCACAGTTCCGAATTGCCAAATTTTCCGAATTGGGTTAGGGTTTAGGGTCCAAATTGCCAAAGTTTTGAATTGCCGAATTGCCAATGTCCTTACTCCATAATAGCCTAAAATTTGCAATTCCAGAAATCTCTCCAAAATTCTCTTCTTAGTGCATAGGCTTTCCTTTCTAATTACTGGCATATCCATAAACAAACACATTTGCTGAAGAAGTTCATGGCTTTTTACACATGTCCCTATCACTAATTTGTGGAGATAAGTGGGACATAAATGTTGACCTGCTGTATGTAGAAATTTTATCCTATCAAAGGGAACGCAATTAAAGGGTGTAGTCAGCTCACATTAGAGGTTTTGACTTCAACATGTCAGTAGTTTAAAAAAAAAAAAAAAAATCTTTATGCACTCTCAAAATGTTGTATTTTGGGGTTTACATTCCCTGTTCCAAAGGAAATATAGATAAAACTTAAACAGTTGTTCTGGATGAGGTCTGGAAGCACGGTCTACCAGACACGGAATGAATTGGTGTACTCCTGTAAACACTTTCTTATTCACTAAACTCCAAACTGAATCAACCTCTCACCAAGTATGTCACAGAGAAAGCTAGGGAGTTCATCCACTTCTGACTGGCTTCTTCATGGAAATCTATGAAGAAGCCATGGATATACTCTACTGACTGCAGCAAAGAGTAAAGAAACAGAAGCTGCCCTTCAATCAGCATAAAGGGACACTACAGACCCCTAAAGCACTCTAACTTGCTGAAAAGATTTACATGTGAAGAGTGTGTCCACTTTTTATGCATTTTACAAACAGTGAAGATTTCGATAGAATTTGGCACTATTATAAACAAATCCTCTTACACTCCACTGACTGCCAATCAGACTACAGGTCCTTTTACTTCCTGGCTGTTGAGCTAATTAGAGACAAACCCAAGAGGCAGCATTTGCAGAGAGCACCTGCCTTTAAAAAGGCTTCTCATTGAGCTGCATTGGGAAGTCTGTGATTGGACAAGTTGGACGACATGAAGTCTGGGCTAGTTTAGAAGGGGAGGGACAAGAGAACTGCAGGTTTTGAGATATACCCCCAGTGAAAAAAATGCATTATTAAATGCACACAAATTTACATTTGGGATATAGCAACTAAACGGTGATGTGTATTTTGCAGTTGAGCATCCCTTTAAGCTATGGATTCTTTCTGATCGGTGCATAAATGAAACTGCTACCAGTATTGAACCATTGTTGGGTTAAACATAATGGAAGTGTTTGGCTGACAATATTTATCAGTATTTCTGTAATCACACTCCTCATTTCCATGAAACTCCAACAGTTAATTTAGATTTGAAATCATTTTATTTTTAATCCATTGTTTTTTTAATATAAAAAATAAATACATTTAAAATAGGGGTCAGCTCTATCCTAGAATGTTTCTTTTTAAAAGGAAAAGAGAATTCTAACTCCACACTCCAAATCCCTAAAGATTACACGAGGGATATGTAGAAAGATTTTCAGGAATTGGGTCATAGCTGGAATGCATATATAAGAGCATTATTTTGAATCCTGGCTATAACAAACTGCTTTTCAGTAGCTATTGCGTATAATGAATGTACTCATACAGTAGTCCTTAATATAATGATGGTGTTGCATCATCGTATATTTTATGATGATTATCAGATGCTGGAAGTGTCACATATGTATATTATGCAACAATATAATGTTTAGCAATAAAATATTCTAGGCTTTTCTTTTGTTGTATTTGCCCCTATATTAAAATAACCACTCTAAACACATGAAGCAAATCAATTTGTTGTTGGAAGCTTGCACTTGCTTTGTGTTTAGAGGCTGTTGTATTTTTGATAGTTTTTTTTTTTTTTTTTTTAAAAAGGACGATTTCTCCAACCAGATATGCCACCAATAGCCATAGTGATCTCTAAGATGAAAGACACTTCTCTAATGGATAAACTAACCGCACTGACACGGGGTACCACAAAAACGTTTGCCAAAGTGTGGGAACCATGGGAGGCATACACTAGGATTTAGCAGAGAGTCGGAGACCCCCACCAATAGCGACAATACACAGACACCTCTCCGCTCGACTAGTGGGAACACCTTGGTTCGGGCCGACCAGTCCTTTCCCCTTCCTCGCTACTCTCCTCTTTTCTTCCTTGTTTCCCTCTTAATAGCTACTCAATCTACCTACTTTTCTGTACTCTAGCTTACAGTTATCTCCTACATATAAAAACACCCACAGAGAGTGGGCTATGTTTTTGGCAGTGGCACCTGCCTGTGACTAAATGGATAATAACACAAAAGTGTCAGTGTCACAGACTCACTACTTCATTGTCATTATTGTACCACTAAATTTCCGAACAAAGAAAAAAAAAAAAAGGACGATTTCAAGAGAAATTAATAGATTTATAACATGTTGGTGAAATGGCTCACAACCAGAGAGGTTATCTTCTGTCTCTGTAAGGACCAGT